GGGTCCCCCTTCTGTCCTCTCTGAGACAGAAGCTTTTCTTCCCAATCAAACAGTTTACTCTCAACCTCCGTTTGTTCCCAAAATCCACCCCTTGGTTTTGGAGAACACGAACTCTGGAGTTTTACTTCCCTGTATCACTGGGACCTTTTTAGGTCCAAAAGTCTCATCATAATCCTTAAGGGCATCATCAACCCTTTTCAATCACCTCTGATCAATAATTCCTTCAATGAGGAACCATGGGCAAACTTATTTAATATATTCAAAATATTGACACAAATCCTCAATTTTAACCTTTACTCCTCGCGCCATTAATGCTTTACTCAAACTTTCTATATATCTCATTCACTTAATGCCTGTCCATTGTCAAGGGAAAGGGGAAAGAGGTGCTGTCCGCTTACCGAGGTGCAGACGTCGCAGCAGGCAACCACAGCGCAGACCTCTTTTATTCTCTCTTTTGCCTCTTTTTACTCTCTTGCCGGCTCTCTCTTTTACTGGCTTTCTCTTGCGCGCGCTCTCTCGGACGGTTCCGTCACTGAATCCTCCGGTACCAGATGCCCCACTCGCTGGGCACCACTTGTCCCGAACCAGCGGGTCAGTCAACGAAGGTCACCTGGGGGAGGAGCGGGGAATTGAAGAGGGGACAAAGGACAGGAGACACGAGAAATGGAGGCAAGACAAAGATTCTGATCAAGCCTCGTTTATTTAGGGGAGGTTCTGGGTATATATAGGGGGTGATGGAATGAGGAAGTCTCGGCTCTTGGGGGTCAGTAGGTATCTAGGCAACGGGGAGGGTGCAACCCCTAGGTCATAGCACGTGATTCCCAGGGAATGGGCAAGGTGAGAAGGGCCATAAACTTGACTCAACAGAGGAATAGAATGGATATCGGTTAATGGCCTCCAACAGATCAGGGCCCAGCGCTGGCCCCCAGCAGGAGCAGCACAGTCCCAGCCAGCAGTGGCAGGGAAGGCAGCACAGTGTTGGGGGCAGCAGCTGTTGTGATGGGCTGCTGCAGGCCGCAGGCAGTGTAGGGCTCCAGGCAGCCCGCGAACGCCATGAGGTGCGCCACGTAGCTCTGCTCCTGCACGCCGTGCATGAGGTGCGCCTGTGGGCCTCGTGCGAACACTGCCACATCCTCGCCGCCGTGCGTCTCTGAGGACAAGGGTACGGCTGCCTGCTGCCGGTAACCAGGGTCACCTGGAGGGACACAGCGGTCAGCAGGACTTCCCAGGAGAGCCACCGCCTCCTCCTCATCCCAGGCTACCCGCCAGCTTCTGCCAGGAGAGGGGAGATTTGGCAGCACTCACGGATCTCACTGTCACTGACATCAGGCCTGCTAGAGTTCTTCGGGTAGCCGGGGCCATTTCCGTAAAGGATAGAAGTATAGTTTTTAGCATCTGAGGCCAAGGAAGGGGCCAGGCCTGCGGGAGCAGAGGGGTACATATGACGGCATTGATACCACTGGTGGTCATAGGTCTGCCACACTCCATCACCTTGGACCTGGTCTCAGGCTTAATCCTCCCAAGAGCCCCATGAATCCGGACTATCCATTTTGCCCATTGGACAGATGAGGAAACTGGGGCTCAGAGGGACCTTTGATATCAGATTTAGTAAGAGCACACCTCACTGTCTCCAGGCCTACCGAAGATGGAGGTCCCGCGTAGGGTATAGCCCCCAAAGGAGAAGACATGGGAATGGTCAGCAGTGATGAGGGTCAGGGTATCCTGCTCGCTGGTGAGCTGGCCGGCCTTCTCAATGGCATTGTCGAACATGACAGCGTCAGTTAGCGCAAGATGAGCCCTGCCCTCATGGTGACCTTGGTCGATGCGGCCCCCTGCAGGAAGCCAGAAGGACTGCTGCTAGGTCCACTTCCTGACAAGCCCTGGGCCTCTGCTGTGTCAGGTGCCCCTGCTCACCTTCCACAAAGAGGTAGAAGCCAAGGGAGTTCCTGCTCAGCAAACGCACGGCCACCTCTGTCATCTCTGCTAGGGAGGGGTCCAGGTCAGGGTCTCGGTAGAAATCATATTTCATCTCTGAGGGCTCAAAGAGGCCTGAGGGACAAGAGACACCACAGTGACTACCAGGTTGGGTAACCGGAAGGGGTCACAGCACACAGCTACAGTGTGGCTGTCAGAGGCCAGCTGGGGCCAGGGCCGGTGGGGACTCACCCATGAGATGTGTCACCGATGGATCCTGAGATGCCCGCATGAGCTCTGTGCGGTTCCACACATACCGAGACCCCTGTAGGGACAGACAGCCCTCAGCCCAGAGCCCGAGACCCTCAGCCCAGCCCCCCACAACACCACTGTGCCCTCCACGGCCCCACCTTGTGCATCCCATCACCTGGTGCTTTGCCAGCCACTCCTGCACAAGGTTCTTCTCATCCAGCCTGATTCCTGCCTGGCTGGCATCATCTGGGTACTCGGGGTCTGGGGTTCCTCTGGGGAACATGAACCTGCGACCCCCACCAAGGATTACCTGTAACCAGAGATGAGGATGGTGGACCTAGGCCTGAAGCGTCACCTGTCCCCTCCTTTTCAGGCCTGAGGAGCCCCCAGAGCAGAGAAGAGCTTTGTCCTGGGTGGAGGCCCCTCCACTGCCCCACTGCACTGCCATAGCTCCTGGTGAGCCAGGCTGCAGGCTGAGTTGCCAGACACCTGGACTTTGGCCAGTGATGGGTCCACCCTGTCTCCCAGCCCCTCCCCACCCTTTGAACTCACATCAATGTCCATGTTGGAGACGAGCTGCGTGGCGATGTCCCGGCAGCCCTCTTGGAGTGCGGAGGTGGGCATGTTGGCATCTGAGTACCAGTTCCGGTTCACAGTGTGTGCATATGTGCCAGCTGGCGAGGCGTGCTGGACCCTGGTGGTGGTCACTATGCCAACAGACTTCCCTGAAGGGGACAAGGGCTCAGTGGGTAGCCCAGGCCATTGGTGCACATCCTGTGCCCAGCCTGCCCACAGGCCCACCTGCTTTCTTGGCCTGGTACATCACAGAGAGGACCTCGTTGCCCTTCTCTGTGCTGCACTGGTCAACACGGGCAGCTGCACTCAGGCCAATGGTCTTGTAGTTGGCCTTGACCCCACACAGGTAGGCAGTGGCTGTGCCCGCACTGTCCGGCACCTGTCTGTCCACGTTGTACGTCTGGAGACAGAGACACCAGTCAGCTATGTGGGGGCAGAGCCCAGTGGGTACCATCTCCCACAGGCCGGGCCCCTGCTCACCTTGGACAGGGCCATGTACGGGAACCGGTCCATAGCCAGAGGGGTCTCTGGCCCCAGCTGGCCCTGCATCTGGCCCTTCAGGATCCTGGTGGCTGTCACTGTGGGCACCCCCATCCCTGAGAAGCAAAAGTTGTGTCAGGCTGGGGAAAAGGCTGGCCTGGATCTGCAGGGCCCCACACCTCACCTCACAACTCACCATCTCCCAGGAAGAGGATGAGGTTCTTGGCCGAGGTCTGAATTGGCTCCAGCTTCTTAGCGGCCGCCAGGGCCTCAGCTGCCTTTTGGTTCCAGAAGGCTGGGTTCTCCTCTTCCACTGCCCAGGAGAGAGGTCAGGTCAGCCCAGGTGGGGTGGCCCCTTGGGTGGCTGCTTTGGAGGCCTTGTTACCTGGGATGATGCTGAGGGTCAGCTGGAGCCTGAGGCCCAACAGCAGTAGCAGCGACAGTTGTACCCCAGCTCTCTCCATGTCGGGGACAGCAGAGGGGAAGCTCCGGCACAAGCTGTCTCCACTTATGTCAAGAGGACTTTGGTCCTGGCTGTAAAAATCCCGCCCTGCCCCCACTTCTCCAGGCTTCCCCTCCGACCTGCCCTGCCCTGTGAGCTCAAGGAAGGGCAGGTAAGACCAGGTAGGTATGAAAGGGGTCCTCAAGCAGCCTGCTCAGCGTGAGCCCTGGTGCCCCCTCATGGAGGGTAACATCGGGGACAGGTGCTCTTCCATTCTTGACAGCAACTGGCCCAGGCCCTGTCCTGGGTGCTGAAGGAAGTGAGGCTCTAGGTGCAGCTTAGGCCAGAGGCTCAGCTTTGGCCTCTGGATCCCATGGGAGCTCCAGAATGAAGGGAGATACAGACCAAGCCCTTTCTCCCAACTGGCTTCCTGCCGGCCTAGGCAGGGCAGGTGTGGCACCCTGGAACATGGGCCCAGACTGATCCCTGTGGGGGAATGCTTGGGGCTGGTAAGGCTGTGTCTGTGTACAGTGTGTACACTGTGCCTGCCTCATGTGTGTGCGTGTGTGTGTGTGTGTGTGTGTGCGTGTATGCGTGTGTTTGTGGTGTCACCTGTGCTTGCAGTAGGCAGGCAAGGATGGGGCCAGTGCACTGGGACAGCCGCTCATGAGCTGGACCACTCAGAGTAGCCAGAAGGCTGTGCCAGTAAGGCTGAGCACACTCCCCTGGGAACCAGCACATGGGGCCCAGGGGTGACTCCTGGGCCGCCCCAGCCTCTGATAAGAAGCTAAGAACTCCTTTAGCCTCCAGCTGAGCTTAAAAGTATTTCTGCCCCAAGCAATCCCCCGCTGGAGGTAGGTCCAAAGGAATTAGAGTCACTGTCTTCTTCTAATCACTGGGACAAAATGCCCAGCACCTGACATGGAACGGGAGAAAGGTTTGTTTTGTGTCACCCAGTTTCATTCCACAGTTGGCCAGCTCCAAGGCAGGGAGGAGTCGTAGGAGGGCTGGCTGAGGGAAGCTGCTATGGGACAGCATCCAGGAAGCAGAGCTGGAAGGGAGGACCCGTGAAGGAGGCTCCCTCCAGGCCACAGCCCCCAGCGACCCCTTCTTGCATCCGGGCCCCACCTCCTACCGACACAATTGGCGTCCAGCCCCCATTCCCCGATTGCCTCTCTAGAGCCCCACCTATGAGTGCAGGAGGCTCTGGGAGGACATCTCCCAGGAAACCATAACATTTTGACCTTGACCCATGAAGGCTCACATGAAAAGTGCATTCAGGCCATCTCTAAGAGTCCAGCACTCCTGAAAAGTCCAAAGTCTCCCCTGAGACCTAAAGAAAACTCCTAGCTGTGAACTCCTGTAAAAATAAACAGAAAGTTAAACATTTCCAGCATACAGTGACACAGGGGAAACATGCCCATTCCTAAAGGGAGACACCGGAGGTAGAAAAGAATCAGACCAAAGGAAAACTGAAGCCCTGCAGGGGCAATGTTAAATCTTGTAGTAGCCAAAGCAAAGAGATGAGCTCCAAACAGCCTGAGTGGCACCATTCTTGTGGCACTGTCAGCTGTAGCTCTCTCGTGGCCTCCCTCAGAGTGGCTATGCCTACTGTGTGCTGCCTTCCTCAGTAGATGGTCCACATTCCCAGCATCTCCAGCTTCCTGAGCTTCCACTACACTTCCAGCTTTGCTCTTAAACTTCCACACTGCCCTCTCAGGAGAACACCACTTGACCTCCCAGGCATCCTGCAATCTGGGTGGAAGTTGTTCTGTTTCTTTTTTCTTTTTCTTTCTTTTTTCTTTTTTTTTTTTTTTTTCTGGGGCTTGAACTCAGGACCTTGTGCTTGCCAGGCAGGAACTTAAGCTGCTGAGCTATCCTCCCCTGGGTGCCTGGGTGGAAGCTGTTCTATCCCACATCTTTTTTTTTTTTTAATTTTTTTTTAGGAAAGGGTCTATAGGGTGTTCAGGGTCTCACTACTAGATCAGACTTGTAGTGATTCTCCTGTTTACAGCCTCCCAAGAGCTGGGATTACAGGCATGGGTCACCATGCCCAGTCTCAATTGCCATCTCATCATGCCCCAGGGGGCAGGGCTGGCACAGCAGACCAAGGGATCGAACCCCCAGCTCCTGCATCTGCCTGCAGGTGCTTTAATTCAATGGACTATTTGGCCAGCCCTATCCCATACCTCTTAGATTCTGCAAGCCTGTAAAACCAATACTATCTGGATGATATCAAAGTCTGCCACCAACTCAACCAATGTCAGGGTCCCCTTCCATTATGGTTGTAGCAGCTTCTGAGTGTATGGCTGGCTGCCCAGAGTTGATTCCTCTGAATTCAGTTGTGTCCTGGGGTGTCCTGGGGCTCTTGGTCTCACTTTTGTGCCTTTTAGTCTTCAAAGGGTGGGGGTCTTACTGATTCCTTAAATTCTCTCAAAACATCTTTCCTACTGTCCTGTTGTAAGTGACTTCTTTTTAATTCTAGTTGTTTCAGCAGCCAAGCTCTCCACTCCAACTTTGCTAGCCTTTCCTTTGGTAGGGGATGGAAAACTTTTAAAATAAGGTTTTCCCCGAGTTTCTCAGTGTAAATCTCACTAAACTCAGCCAGTAGTGTCCATGCCATGGTCTGAACATTGAGCTGCTTTGAAATCTTCTCCACCAGATTTATGAGTCGAACGCCTTTAGTTTCCATCTCCTGAAAAGTCTTAAGACATGAGCAGCATGTACACAAATTCTCTGCAGAACACAACCCACATGGCCTTTTTCCTCATTCTCCTCTTCTTCTTCTTCCTTCTTCCTCTTCCTCTTCCTCTTCTTCTTATGTATTTTAGGACAGGGTATACAGGGTCTCACTACATAGATTGGACTCATAGTGATTCTCCCGTTTTCACCTTCATAAGCACTGGGATTACAGGCGCACCCCACCACACCCAATCTCAGTCACTGCCTCAGTGCACCCCAGGGTCGGGGCTGGCACAGCATGCCAGGGATCGAACCCTGACCCCTATACCCTGCCTAAGCAGGCACTTCAGTCCGCTGAGCTATCTGGCCGGCCCTAGCATTCTGTTCTTCTAAGCTCTGACTGGTCTCTAGGCAAGTGCAGATTACAGCATTCTAGAGCTATTTCCCCCTCCAGCCATCTCCAAGCCTTTCCAAACTCCTGCAAACCAGTCCTGCTGACCTTGTACCCACGTGGCCCAGCAGCTTCACAGGGATAGCCGCTCTCTGCACCTTAATCTGTCTTAGTCACACAGAGTCTGCCTTAGTCACCTCCCTTTCACTTTGCTGAGACATGGCGCCCAACCTCCACTCCTATCCCAAGCCCCAACAGAGGCAGGAAGGCAGGGTGCCAGGGCCTGGTGGAGGAGGTCTGCTCCCTCCTCGTGGCCGGAAGGCAGAACTTGAAGGGGAGAGCCAGCGTAGGGGTGCAGCCATCCAAGCCGCACCCCCAGGGAGCCCCTCCTCCAGCTCCACCTCCTAAACTTACATCTAAGTGCTGCCCCCCCGAGGATTCAGTCACCTCTTGGCAGCCCCACCAATGGGCACCCGAGGCCTCAAGTGATATCTGGTATAAACCGCAGCCAGCACAGACCTAGATCTGGGGCAGGATCCCAGCAGCGCGAGTCATGCTAGCTGAGCAGGGAGCAACCCAATGCTTGCGCCCTGATGGGTTCATGTGCTGGAAGCTTGGTCCCCAGGATGGTGATGAGGTTGGGTCCTTTGCACATCAGAAGTGATGCGATTGGCTGAAGCGATGTCATTAGCAAGGGCCGCTATCCTTCTCTTGGGACCCCAGTGAGTTCCCATGGGAATGGGCTGTAATAAAGCAAGACCCACTCGCCTTCCCACACCAGGTCCCATCTTTCTGTGTGATCTTCTCTCTCCTGTCTGTGGCACTGCAGTGGTATCTGTCCTGGTACACAGCCAGCCAGACTGGCAGAGGTCAGCACCAAGGCCTTGAACTTGCAAGTCTGTGAGCCAAACAGACCGCGTCTCTCTATCCCTCATCCACTTCAGCTGTTTCGTTACTGCAGTGGGAAGGGGCTGACACCCCAGCTCTCCGTGGACAGATACGTGAATGCACACAGTACGGTCCACACACGCAGCATCATCACTCAGCCTTTAGAAAGGTAGGAAATCCCAGCCGGGCTGCCGTAGGAATGAACTTGAACTCATTATGCTACCTGAGATCTACCTGTCACACAGAGACAATGACCGTCCAGCTTTGGAACGGGTTCCTGAGTAGTCAGATTTCTAGAGACAGAACAGGACGCTGGCTCCTAAGGCTGCAGGAAGGCAGAGTGGGGAGTGGCTTGCCAGGCGCAAGGTTCCAGTTTGATGAGATGAAATTGTTCTGGGAACTGGTGGCCCAAGGGCAGTGTGCACGCCCTGAATGCTCTGCACTGCCTGACGAAAAGGGCTGAGGGGGGTGAATTTTATGTCATGCATTTTTAAACCACTATTCAAGAGTTTTCAAGGGCTGGTGAGATGGCTCAGTGGTCTAAAGCACCTACTTAGAACAAGCTCAGCAAAGCACAGGGACCGCGGTTCAACCCCCAGCACCACATGCCAGCCAGCCCGCCCCCTGGTGGGCTGAGCTGGCCATATACACACACACACACACACACACACACACACACACACACACACACACACACATAAATAAAATTTTTTTAAAAAGTTTTCAAGACAAAATCTTTCCTCCAAATTCTCCAGCACATCCCAACCATGGTAGCTGCCTGTTTTGTTTCATTTTTCACTACTGGGGGAAGACCCCAGGAAGTACCAAGCTGCATTCCAATCTCTCCCCTTCCCTTCCCTCCCCCCTCCCCTCCCCCCTTTCTCATGGTCTCACTAAGCTGCCTGTGATGACATCAAACTTGTGATCCTCCAGCCAAAGCCTCCTGAGGAGCTGGGCTGGAAGCCGTGTGCCACCCCACCTGGCCAGCAGCCTCCCAGGCCACCTCACAAGAACCACAGGCCTGACCCCAAATCCCAGGCTGCCCGCCCGCCACCGTCACT